ATCTAATCTGTTTATAGAAGATATTTTATTGCTTGGTAAAATCCTTCTGTTTTGTTAAAGATGAAAGAGAAATCAGCTTTCTCATATGAATATGGTTATAGCATTAATGTTTTTCTGATAGAAATCCCAACTTTTTTTAACTTTTGTTTTTGTATATAAGAACATTTTGCTGTGATTAACAACTTGTATGCCCTTTGACCTGCTCAGCTGCACCTTTTTCATTCCTACGGTGATATAACTCATGGAAATGGAAAGATTTGTGAATTGCTTAAAAAATGTGTGATTTTTATTTTAGTTGAGGAGGGTACATTTTTTTATTTTAGAGAAGCTAGTTGTATCATCAGAAGAGTGCCAGATTTTTCCCTGGGGGGAAAGTTAGCACAATCATTGTTGCCTTCAAAATCAGTATATTTGCTGCATTGAAATCTACCTCAGAGACTGAATCAACCAAATTCTCTGCTTACCTGATCCTTGATGTGGGGTTGTAGATGACTCATTTTATGGCAGATTTTGGGACTCTGGCAGTAGTGTTTTATACAGATTTAGAGATCAGCAGCATATTCAAATTCTATAGAGATAATTTACTTTCCAATTATATGAGACATAACGGTCCTTTGGAACCAAAGAGAAAGTGATTCCCATTTTGTCTGGGGAAGAGATGACTACCTACTAATTCCTAGCAAAATCTATCAACTTCCCCACTAGTTCCACCATTCAGATTCTAGTTTGTCTAGCCATGGATAAACAATGAATATAACACTTTCAAGGGTACACAGACAGAGCTAAGAAAGTGTGGTGGTCTCTCTTGGCTTTGATGTCTAACTTGTAAATGGGAGTGGCAGTGAAAGAACCATTTATGAAAACTATCTGTAAAGATGAAAAACTGCACGTCAACATAGTAAGCTGCCTATGGACAGCAGAGATTCTAGGAAATTGTTTTTGATGAAACTTTTTAAAGAAATGATGAAGCTTAAGAATAAATGAATTATTGGAACATCGGTCTGAAATTTTTGCGTTTGTCCACTGAACTCCTCAAGTAATGGGTATAACCATACAATTAATTTTGAGGAACATATACTTCTTTTGGCCTGTATCATGCTTGCCATATGGTTGCAGTATCTGTAGGAAAGCGTGGTAAGAATGGTTCTATGAACATGGAAGTACTCTATGTATTTTTAGGATACCAACCTTAGCTGAATATTTTCCTCTCATTGCTAGTAATTATATGGAGATGTCCTGGTAAATGAATGCACAACTAGAAATGGACTTTTGGATAGCACCCTTTCCATCTAAAACAACTATGAATTGTACAAGTTCCCAACATGAACTGGGCCCAACAGTGTTATATAAAAAGAACTTAAGGGACAAAAACTCAAAGAGAATTTTGTAATATAATCTGGGTCTGTGAAAGAATAGTTTGTATCTTCTTCAACTCCTCTGTGTTGTGTCTCAACCTTCCTATTGTATAGTCTAAAATCACAGTTATCGGTAGTTCTCTACTTACAACCATTTGTTTAGTGACCGGTCAAAGTTACAATGGCACTGAAAAAAGTGACTTGCAACCAGTCCTTGCACATACAACCATCGCAGAATTCCCACAATCACATGATCAAAACTTGGATGCTTGTTAATTGGCATGTACTTAATGAGAGTTGTGGAGTCCCAGGATCACATGAAGGCCAATTGTGACCTTCCCAGAGAGGAGCTGACCAGCGAAGTCAATGGGGAAAGCTTAAATCACTTAACAAAGAATATGATTCACTTAACAAGTACAATGATTTGCCTGACCGCCATGTAGGAAAAAAAGTTGTAAAGGTGACTCACTTAAAAACCACCTTGTTTAGCAATGGAAATTCTGGTCCCAATAGTGGTTGTAAGTTGAAGACTTACCTGTACTATGTCAACTCATGTAAAATAAGCCCTGTTCTTCCGCCAATTCTATCAACTCCATGTTTATTAATATATCTGGGTATTTTCCTCTTGCTGAGCAGAAGAAGATAATGATTATGTTATGCTGCATCATCCTCGTCATTATCCTGGCTTCTACTCTTGGGAGCTTCTTTATGTGAATACTCATTCCTTTACTTTGCCATTTGTCTCAGGTAAGTTGTATGCAAATATAGCAGCTTAGTGGTATCACCTTAACCAGGGCAATTGGGATCCTCCAAATTGTGGTTGTGTTGGGCTGTATTTCTATTTTCCACCTAGACTAGTGCATGCATAGATGTGGTGAAAATGCTTCACCTGATACTTCTCCTTAATAACTAATTGTTTACAGAAAAATAGCCATCTACTTAAATAAGCTTATGCAATCTAGGTAAGTGAGCTTAAATATCATATTCTTAAACTTAATCAAATGAAAAAATAAAATAACTTATTCTAATTGACAGGAGGCAAACTATCTACATATTAGGGTAGTAACTTCAAGGATCTCTTTTGGTTAATATGCTCAGACCCCACTTATGATCTCTATATCTTCTCAGTTTTCTTCTCTTTTCTTTCAGGATGGATCTGTAAGATGATTTTGGCTTTTCCACTCCTTTATCTCCTGTTCTTCCAGTTTTGGAGATGTCATAGCCAATGATTAACCTATCAAAACATCTTAGTTGATACAAAGAGGGGAAGAAGGAGCCAGAATAGAGCAATGCTTAGAAACTTCAGCTTGGAAGGGGGAAGTGGACGTTAGAACATAAGGGTCTTTTTTTATAACAACTACCAAAAGCCAACCAACCTAAATCTTGATTGGTTGGTCAACACTAATGCTTAAGTTTTTATGGGACATCATTACCAGTTATACTGGCTCCTTCTGCCCAGTGTAAACTTTTTGGCATTGAAACCCAATTCTTGGGAGACATTTTAAATGATTCTTATGGAAGACGACAAGCTACATATTCCCCTGCCTTACCTTTGCTGTCAAAATCGATATGCACCTCCTTGCTGTTAAATGTAAGGTGTTTTCCCTGGCTGTACTTTCTGCTTGTGCTATGTCAAATGTCAAAAGAAATGGCTTGTTCCAAGACTCCTTCCAAGACTCTCTTAGCTACAATGAAATGAAATTAGACATCTGGACAAAGAGCTGTCTCATATTTTCTCCCCTTTTAATAATATCCAGAACAATCTTTTTAAATCTTGTGATTCCAGTCAGAGATATGTATATATTTCCAGCTCATTTAACGGTATGATGGCAAATTTTGACCCAAGCTGCAGGCATCTGTAGTGGAGGCAAGGCTTTTTAACGTTCATGAAGATTTCTTTGGACATCAACTGTATCAACATATTTTTACATACTGACTTAATATATTTCTTATATACTGAGAAAAAGTTTGTCTTTTATTTAAAGAATTAAAACGTATTTATTCAAGCATGTAATATTTATTGCTTTGGATCATGGCTGTGGTTAGGATGAGTGAGCGTTATTAGCATATTATTCATTTTACCCTGTTCCAATGATACCCATTTAGTTTCCATTTGGGTAAATATCTCCTATTTTCCCCTTGGAATGAATTAATCACTAGATAGGGAAAGGGAGATATTTGTAACTATATAATGAACTATTCTAGTAATTCCAGATTTAAGTTATTCTGCTACCGTTCCAAAAGCATAGATGTTAAAAGTAATCCTCCTGAATAAAAAGTTTATTTCATCTAGAATCATGTGTGATGGACTAAGTCATAAAAGAATTGCTCAGATACAGTAGTATATATTGCTTGTAGGATGCTGGCTGAGAATAACAGGAACAGGGAAGCAGGCAGGAGAGGTCGCATATTGCTCAGGTACATTTCTCCCATCTATACAATCTCCACATTCCTTTCTGTGCTCATGCTACACCATTCATTCACACAACCTTTCTGGCCCATGCTGCATCCTACACACACTCCCCAACTTGTGGGGGTGCCTCTGCTCATTTTTGTGCACCCTGCTCAACCTACACACTCCCCATGCCCTTCCTGATTCCTCCTCCTCTTGTGCACCCTCTCCAACCTATGCTAAATCATGGCATACCCTAAACCAATGTGGCACCTCTCATACACCCTCACACACACTTCCCAATCCATGCAGCACCCTCATGCATCCTTCCTGTCCTGTGTAACACCCCATACAGCTCTCTGCTTCCTCCTCAACACGTACTCCTGAACCTACTGAGCAATCCTTGTACATTCTGATATACTCTTACTCATCCATGCTGCACACATGTGCCCTTTTCCCAACCCATATAGTACCTATTTTTTATTAAGTCAATGGAGACCTTGGCAGAAAGGAGGAAAGAAAGAGGAGGGAGGAAGGGAAGAAGATTTCCCTTGCTTCCTGCCAATGTCCCATAAGGAAACTGGGGAAGTTGACAGAAAATTGGAAATTGCTGCTGCTCCCATTGATTTTCTTTGCTGTGGTCATTCTGTTTGTTTAGGTAACGAAATATCTCTGAAACGATGGCCCAATGGTCTAGTTTTTATTAAAGGCTGCCTATACCATCTGACTAGTATTTGTTAGTCTTTTAATTATATAATTTAATTATATATTAAATATAACTATATAATTTAATTATAAAAATAGCAGCAGCAAATGACATCTTTATTTTTACTTCTACATTGATCCCTGACACATTTTTATTGTAGTAAATAATAATGGCATGAAGGATGTGGCTATGTCCTTAGGAAAGAGGAAGATTCTTGCCTCGGCTGCATGTCATTCCCACATACCATTACAAATGATAAGTAGCCATAATCACTGCTTTGTGCTTGGAAATGCACTCTCATTCAATGAAAAGGGTGTGCTGGAAGGGTAGCAAGTACTTCACTGGTTTACTGTCTGGTAAATATTGAGAAAGATTGCAACAATTTTGTGAATAGGAAATAATTCCCATAAAATGTTCTAAAATGTCCAGCATATCTATTGACACATCCAAATATTTAACTGGATTTTGAGAATTTTGTACCACCTCTTTGCAAATCAAAGATGCACAGAATTTCTCATATGAAGGTCAAAATATCAAACACTGTAACAAACTTCCATGATGAGTTTATTTATACCAAGTTCTACATCATTATCGCCCTCCATACTTATTGGACTTCCAGATATATAGTCACTCATTTCTTCACCCACCAATCTGTGTGTTGAGAAAGGCAAAGTTTTCAAAGAATGGTTGCAGCAGATCAGGTGCCAAAAGTTTCCACTCACACCCTGTCAGGCAAGAAGAACTTTCCCCAGTAGCGACCCTTGTACTGTAAGTCTTTAGGGCTCAGATATTTCCGTATTCCCAGCATATTGGCAGTAACAATGCGCTCAAATGTCCATGGATTCTGGTTATTACGCTGCCTCTCCTCTTCTCTGTCCCGCATCTCTTGAAGGGTTTCCCTGCTGACTGCTTGGGCTTCAAAAGGCAGTTTCTTGGCTACTTGAGTGAGGAAGTGTTTCACCTCAGCAAACTCACAATGCCCACCAATTTCCACTATGAGGCGACCTGCTTTCACTGCTGACACATAGTGATCAATTGCACCTTTGCCACCACCCATACGGTGTCCGAGCCCTTTGCGAGTAATGGGTTTGTAAGGAGGAGGGACTCTCCACAGTGCAAACATAGTCTTGGAATTCATGTGCCGATTAATACTTAAACGCATAACTTCAAAGTGAATCCAGCGGAGATAGCCACCATTCATAGCCTGCAGGCGAAGGAAAGTTGACGGGGATTTTTTTTTAAATAATTCAAGTAAGAAAGACCATCATTGTAACATTTTTGAAATTGCAAGAGGGGATCTCCTCTTTCATAGCCAATTGCCACAATCTTACACTTGTTTTATACAACTAAGAAGATTCTTACTTACCAAAATACCAAATTTTCCTTCAGTAAATTCAGTGGCTTCTGTAGATGGACCTTGGATGTCACGTAAATTCTTGGGCTGTCGCCTAACCTTAATCAAGTTTGGTGCTCTTTCAACAATTCTCAATTTGGGTTTCTCAGGAATGATAATTCCTAAAAGAATGGAATTGTAGACTCAGTTTTTTTCTCACAACTGCCTTTTTTAGCTGGAGAAGATTTAGATTTAGATTGATTTAGATTGCTTTTATTTATAGGCCGCCCTTTTCCCTGAGGGGACTCA